ATAATAATAATAATTTATTGCAGCCAAAGTTACACAATGTACATTACAGTTACAGATGATACTTAACATGCGTATTTGCCGTGAGTACAAAATACATGATCAATGACCCCCATGCTAGGAAAACCTGTGTTACAGGGGTCAACCATCCGTCCAGTGAGAACAGTTAGGTAACTTATTGTAAATAAAACTAGCCTAGTACAATTTTAAAATTAAACAATAATAAAATAAGCAAAATTTATTAAATTTATGTGTGTTGTGTGAATGATGTGTGTGAATGGGTGTGTAGTGTGACCGCAGGAGAGTGTGATGTATGTGTGTGGGTGTGTGGAGTATTTGTTTGGGTATGAGGTGCATCTGTGTGCGTGCTTGCGAATCTTATAATCTTATGTTTTGACTAGATCTTCCGTTTTCTCGTAATTTAGGGTAAGCAGAAAGTCCTTGGCTTTGGATTTGCATTGAAACGCATTCAGATTATGTATGTTCAGTTCGCTATGGAGTTTATTGTAGATTCTTGCACTCAGATATCGATATTGTCGTCGGGCGAAGATGGTGTTGGTACTGGTTATGGTACAAACTGGTATGGGTCTTCTTCTCGGCGTAGGGCTGTTTTCTCTAATTGGAGGGATTAACTTGTGCATACGGGAAATACAACGTGCCACATACAACTGCCGGACCGTTAGGACTTTAAACTCTGAATAAAGATAATATAATTAGTGCAGAGCGGTCACTGGTGACCGAAATAGTTTAGTTAGCAAAATTACTATAACCCTTATTTATATCTTTACAGCAATCCAACATGAAGTCATTCGTAGTATTCGCTGTTGTTATCGTCAGCTGCGTCGCCCAAAGATCTCCATACGCCGGCCGACTGCCTATCGGATTTCTCACAACTGCAGGTTTAGGCAACAGGTAATTATATTTTTATAATAACTATCGTGAGATATACTAAATTAAGTAAAAATCGCGGGTTACTCACGTGAATATACTGAGAAACGCACTACTAGTTTCGAACCACCGCACCGGGGGTCTTCCTCATGAGTAGAGCTTTTCTCAGTATATTCACGCGAGTAACCCGCGATTTTTAGTTAACAGATAATTACGTACCTACTTAATTCTTTTTTATTCCACGATAATAGGTGAAGATATACGACCATAGCAAAGGGTTAAACCTTTGCTATGGTCGTATATCTTCGTATATCGCATATCGTCGTGTATCGATAAATGACCATAGCAAAGGCTAACCCTTTGCTATGGTCGTATATCTAACGTAACGTTCCAGGGAATCAAAGAAACCAAAACCAATTAATCACTATAATTGTGTTTCTTCGTAGTTTTGCCTAAAAAGCAAGAGTTACAAAATTTGAGAAGGACTAATTATCCCATCTTCATGGTTTTTTAAGGAGATATTCTTTTAAGGGGTAAGATTTTTAAGGGAATAATCATAAAGTCAGATCCTAATAATACTGACAACCAATCAGGGTGTTTTTAAAAGTACAAAGTACCCACCTTAATCTTATTTCTTATTCCAATTTTCAGGTTTGGAGACGATGTCGGAACATCAACCACCATCAGACTGCCTCTCGAAGCTCTTGGAGACGTGGAACTAGTCCGTCGGTTAAGCAAACTACCAGTTGATAATCAACCCTTCTGGCTTCTCAACTGGAAGGCTTTGGAAGAAAACAGGAATCGCCCTCAGACTTACCCTCAGAGGGGTAACAGTTTCATTGACGATACCTTCAATGCAAACTCGCTCCAACTGAATAACTTCCAAGGCTTCGAAAAGAAATAAGTTCCAAAATAAATAAGACTGGCCCTAAACAAATAGTTGATTTAAGTATTCGAATTTAGAACGAGACTGATGTTCCAAAACGATAAGAATTTGAATTTGAAAAAGAACATTGGAATGTTTTTTAAAATAGTCATGTCATGGTTGATAACGGTAATGGATTTTAAATCGCTGTCACCATTGTTTTTGGTGATTAAGTCAAAGTTGAAATCATTTTGTAATAGTCAAATGTTGTTAGTCACAAAAGTCTTATACTAAAGACTGTTAATTAGATATAATTAATTTATGATTGGAATTTTGTTACTACTAGATGTAAATCAATGTTTTAGAACAGTAAAAGATGCTATTTATATGACTACTTGATTTTTATTCCCTTGAAATGCTACGTAATTATATACCATAGATCTACATTTACTGTCATTCCTATTAATTTTACTGCATACAATAATGAACTCTAATACTTAACAATTTAAATAATTAACACTCTAATTCACTTACCTATACCATGACCAGAATATAAACATAGAATACAAATATCTATTAACTCGGGCAGGCGGACAGCGAGCATGGGTGGCTCGCCGCCCGACCAGAACCAAACCCGAGCGTATGGCGCGTGGCGTTCCGCGCGCGCCTCAAAGAGCCATCAGACCACCACGGATGGGGCTCAATAGGGCTGATACCGATACGGAACCACGAAGAACTTAACAGGTTGCCGGGGCTCCGGCTCGAAGGGCAGGAGTAGGAACGGGACGATTTTTAGTCAGTAAGTGTCTGTCTCCTTCCTCACCGAGGCGGGAGCAGTCATTCGATTATTTTCCCCCTTAAAACACAAAACAAACATATATATATATATATATATATATATAATTACTACAAAATTATTTTAGGGCATCCTGTATCTACAATAATGTGCCTATAATGTGCCTGGGAGTGACACGTGCGTAAATTTATCGTCACACAATAACAAACAAACCGCACGATATCATCGCATGTGTAAATTCATATAAGAGCTCTTACACACGCGCGGTGTGTTGCCAACGGCAGAGGTAACCGTCGATGCGTCGGCGGTATTCATCGACGCGTTGACGGTAGCCGTCGACATTTGAATTTCGAAGAACGCTACAACTGCAAGTGTCTCTATAGGTCGACTGCTGCCGTCGACGCGCAAGGGGGTTTTTATTATTTATTTTTTTATCTTTAAATCACACAAGTAAATATGTTATAAGCTAGAATTAGAACAACTAGAAACTAGAATAAGTGAAGATTTTTAATAGCTCATTTTTGTTGTTTTTTATTTTAAATTTTAAATATGTATTCACTTTTTTTCTTTAAATAATTTTCTTGCTGTGTGCCTACTGTTTTTGATATATTTATAATTTTAATTTTGTCTTAGCTGTTACCTATTAAGTCAGTATTCGTGTGAATCTCTAAGTGGCTCAATGTTACTTTTTTTCTGCTAAAACTGTGTAATGTAGCTGTTGATTCACCATTAAATAAATAATTTAAGCCCCACAAAACCGTTGTCGACACGCTGTGGTAATATGCCGCTCGTGTGCAAGAGGTCTTATAGTAACATAGTTAAATTATTAGTATCTGTTGTTTGAAGAGGATAGATAACTTTGTATTATGTTAACATAACCAATCACCATAGCATAATCGCTTTTTCATCTAAGAGAGGGTATATGCACCTCTACTTACTATACCTCTATAGCGTACCTATTAAGGTACACTATTGCTTACCCGTCAGAACAGTTCCTCTTAAGCTGTTCCAGTTCGTCGAAAGGCCACTACAGAATAAACTTGCACTGTTCTCACATAATATTTTATATAAATATTGTCTGGACTTTAAAAGAGACGGACCTCTGAGTTTGTTTCGACATTTGTTCTCAGAGTAGTTAGTTAGGAAACGTCGACTTCATCGTTCGCCTAAATATTGACGTCTAAAATTGGCAGCAATTTTAGATATTTTAGATATTTGTAGCCTATTGGCAGAAATAAATTTACTTGTTTCACTTGCTTGAAACCGTACTGAAACATTTTCAAATCTTCTATTATTGTTATTTTCTTTTTACGTTCCACTACAATATTAATTAATTTACCTATCTTATTCTTTGAGAAAACACAGTGATTAAAAATTAATTGCTTCTACGTATGAGAACCTTTCTCGTAAGTAGGAGAGTATCAGACTAAAGATGATGATAACTGATCATGGAACACTGTCTGGAATTCCCACCTACTTTTTTTATTATTATTATTGTAAAACGTTGCACCATTCTGTGTCGTGGATGCGTTTACAAACATATAAGTTCACATACACATGACACCCAGACCCGAAAAAATAAATTGTGTATCACATAAAGTGTTGTTCCGTCCGGGAATCCAACCCACGGCACGCTGCACAGCAGCCAAGTGGCTGCTGTTTCTACCGTACCAATACCGAAAACGCAGGCATAACTTTATAATGTGAACATCATAATTTTAAATAGAACCAAATTCAAGATTCTTCTAGAATATTCCAGAAGTATCTTTACAACGAAGCTAAGCTGACATAAGTCAACAACTCAACAAACAAGCCTGTATATATTTAATCTGTTAATGATTTACAACGTAAATTGTCTGTTTTCTCACTGAATTGTTCCGCCATTTTGTTTTCAAGCAATATATTATAAACTTAAGCATTTAAGTACCGTAATTGTTTGACAAAACATAATTATTCTGAAGTGAATTAATGGTTCTAATTTATTCCGCTTTGAGTCTCTGTGGAGTGTTTTTTAAGTTGAATGCTTATTTATTTATTTATCTGTTTTTATTTGTTAATTATTAATTGACTTTATGATGGCCATTATAATTTTTATGTTTAAGTCCCTTTCATGTTTTTAGAGGCATTCATTTTTACATATTTCATTTTAATTAACTTTTCAGTTGGTCATTTTGCCATTTTGCGAATCTGAGTAGGACAAATTAATATTTAGTTTTTAGCAAATTTAGTTTTTTGACATAAAAAGCTATGTATAATCTCTGACAGGACTTAAGATTCTATTAGTATTTTAATATTTTATAAGATTTTGACGACCACCCTCGCATACGATTAAATCGTTTATCATTTGATCAAATACCTTTATTTGTTTGAGCTGTAGGAATTACCGCATTTTTATTATTATTTACATGTTTTTATTTAAAATTCTCTATAAATTACATTTTTAAATACTAAATACACAATAAAAAATAATATTTAAAAATATAAAAAATAGGAGCCAACCAGTAGCGGGAGCAAAGTCCAAGCTACCGGTGGTTAGGGGACCAGAGACAGAAACCTCCTCACGATACGTGCCGTTTCTAGGATAACTGTCTTATCTATTATTATTATTATTAGATATCTTTACCTGTTTTAGCTGGAGCTATTACTATATTATTAACTGATCGAAATTTAAATACAAATGCAGTAATTCCTACAGAGCTATTACTATATTATTAACTGATCCAAAAGGTGAACTGGAAAGGAGGCTTGATTAAGGACGCAGGGAGCCGCTGGATGCAGGTCGCTTCCAACCGTCCTATCTAGAAGTTATTGGGAGAGGCCTATGTTCAGCAGTGGACGTCCTGTGGCTGATTTGGTGATGGGCATGATGATGATAAGTTGTAGAACATAGCTATGTCTTGAAAAGACATTATATTTACAATTTTTTGCGTAGGTAAATGTCATAAAAAATTGACTTAAAAGCAATATCAACTACATCAATGTCATTGATATTTACGTTACATATAAGTACCAATAATAAAAATGCGCTGTCAATTTGCAAAATATACGGCAGTCGTTTCGAATAAGGGGGAACCTTCTAGAAACGACATTTATGCGAAGCAACGGCGGACAAGATGCGTAAAAAATTGCCACATTTCAGTAAAAATGTAGAAAATTGACGTGAAATATATATTTTGGACGCCATTTTATTAGGACATCCTGTTCAGTAATGAAAAAATTGGGTAAAATGGTTTCCTGGAAGTCGATACGCCGTCGGCCATGTTTATTTGGGTTAGGTAGGATGTAGGATTTTTTTATCTTGAAGGACAGAAAGGTCATGAATAATAAAGTGCATGTGTTAGATTATAGTACTTAATAATATATTTATATAACAACTATCGTGAAAACTGTCGTGGTGGCCCAGAGTTTTAAGACGCCCGCTTCTCATGCATGAGGGTACGAAACCTACCAATGTGACTTTTTCCGAGTTATATGTACTTTCTAAGATTATCTAGACACCACTGACAAACTGTTAAGGAAAACATCGTGAGGAAACCTGGGCTTATAATTTCTAATTTTAAGTTTGTAATCGCCAACCCGCATTGAGCAAACGTGGTGATAATGACGGTGGACCTTGAAGAAGAGACTTTGTTCAGCAGTGGGTATTTATAGGCTGTTGATGATGATCGTGATACATTAAAAAACGGTTTACTTACTCACGTAAATATACTCTACCAGTTTCGAGTCACGGAGGGACTCTTCCTCGTGAGCAGCGCGCGTGGTCGTGGCGATGTCGCGCAGCCTACTTAGTATACATATCACGACTATCAAAAGTAAATTAAGAAGAAAAACCAACTCAGAGAAGCTTGATTGAGAATATTCTTAATGCACTCTCATTAAGAAAATATTGTTTTTGCAATATAGATCGGCAAAAATGAATCGGCTATAATTTTCTGGATTATAGATAGAGGTTCCATCAGTTACATTCTTAATCTCATAGTTTTACGCTACGAACTCACGGCGCGATTTTCACCCGCGCCCACCGCGGTGGCGGATTGGAGATTTATTGTTATAGTCATGAGACTTCAGTTTTATGCTGTTACACAACCGCCGCGGTTGAAATGTGCTTTAATTCTTACATATTTGTATTCTACAAAGGCTGCGAGCCCGCAACTGCGGTGAGGACGCGGGGAACATCGCTTCGTGAGTCTTTAGCCTTAGAACGGAGTCACGGAGAACCTAACGGGTTACCGGGGCTCCGGCTCGACGTGCAGGAGAAGAAACGGGGTGGTTTTTAGTCAGTAAGAGTCTGACACTCCCTCCCGCCTCACCCAGGCGGCAGCAGTCATTCGATGATTTTCCCCCTTAAAAAAGCCTTAGGACGGCGCCGAGGCATGCCTAGTTTAAAATGAAACCAACTCTGTATTACTACCAAAAATATTGAATGACCCTTACAATAATCAAGATCGACGAGGCAAACAATTAATTATTTATATTTAATTGATGAATGATAAACTTAACGTAATGTATAATAAATATTCGATAAATTACCCTAGCAGTCCTTTCAACGGAAACAAAACGAAATTGATAAATAATGGGCCTTAATGACTGTTGTT